TAGAGTAAGAGAAGGAAAGTGGCAGAGAAACAGATAGAGAGAGAGTGACAGAAGGAAAGTGGCAGAGAAACAGATAGAGAGAGAGTGAGGGAAGGGAAGTGGCAGAGAAACAGATAGAGATAGAGTGAGGGAAGGAAAGTGGCAGAGAAACAGATAGAGATAGAGTGAGAGAAGGAAAGTGGCAGAGAAACAGATAGAGAGAGAGTGAGGGAAGGGAAGTGGCAGAGAAACAGATAGAGATAGAGTGAGGGAAGGGCAGTGGCAGAGAAACAGGTAGAGTGAGGGAAGGGCAGTGGCAGAGAAACAGGTAGAGAGAGAGTGAGGGAAGGGCAGAGGAAGAGACAAAGATAGAGGGAGGGAAGGGCAGAGGAAGAGACAAAGATAGAGATAGAGTGAGAGAAGGGAAGTGGCAGAGAAACAGATAGAGATAGAGTGAGGGAGGGGCAGAGGAAGAGAAAAAGACAGAGATGGAGTGAGGGAAGGGAAGAGGAAGAGAGAAAGATAGAGTGAGGGAAGGGCAGTGGCAGAGAAACAGATAGAGATAGAGTGAGGGAGAGGCAGAGGAAGAGAAAAAGACAGAGATGGAGTGAAAGAAGGGAAGAGGAAGAGAGAAAGATAGAGTGGGGGAAGGGCAGTGGCAGAGAAACAGATAGAGATAGAGTGAGGGAAGGGAAGTGGCAGAGAAACAGATAGAAATAGAGTGAGGGAAGGGCAGAGGCAGAGAAACAGATAGAGTGAGGGAAGGGCAGAGGAAGAGACAAAGATAGAGTGAGGGAAGGGCAGAGGAAGAGACAAAGATAGAGTGAGAGAAGGGCAGTGGTAGAGAAACAGATAGAGATAGAGTGAGGGAAGAGCAGAGAAACAGATAGAAATAGAGAGAGGGAAGGGCAGAGGAAGAGACAAAGATAGAGTGAGAGAAGGGAAGAGCAAGCCCTCTGCGTGTGACGGCGAGGCGCCTTGTACCCACCCCAAGACCCTCACCGGCGCAAAGTAGTGTTGGGGTTGTTGTTGTTTTGTTTGTTGTTTGGGTTTTTTGGTAAGTGTTTTACGGCGCTCGCGACCACTCGTACATAAGGTCATATGGGTGTTCGGGACACAACAAAACATTTTCAATGGGTAGGAAATTTTAAATCTTGCTCGGGTGGCCACCGAAGCCTACTCTTATCGATTTTGGACCACCAAGGGAACTTTAGCGTGCGCAACTTGCACACCAGACCTCCGACTCCGAGATTTTTCGCCCTTGTCCCAGAAGGCAAGTGGAAAGTTTGCCAATAATAGTTTAGTTTTAGTAGAGGTTTTACGGCACTCGTAACTGCATAATGTCATATGTGCGTCAGAAGAATAGAGGCGTTACAAGAGAGTGACAAACACAAAATAGAAAGAGGGGACATAAAGCCGATGGATGTTCGATAGGAAAGAAGAAATAAACCACACTAGAGCACCCACCCACCACCCACGCGGAAAGTTTGCCAATATTCTTCTAAATTGGACAAAGCGTAGCGTGACGAACTGTGCGGGGGTATGAGATAACAGTTTTTCATCACTCAACGACAGGCTGATAATGATCAAACATCGCAATACGACCAGTAAGCGAAACAACAGACGCTCCTTCCCTCCGCTCACAGCTGGCTTACTCGGCTGACAGGGAACATATGAAAAAAAACCCGGGAATGTTATATCATTAACAACAAGACACATGCTGTGACGTAATACGTCTGTTTGCTTTGCTTGTTTGTTTGTTTAGTATAGGGTTTTAGGGCGCTCGCAACTGCATAAGGTCATATGAGCGCGCGGGACACACCTAATACTTTTTCGTTGGTAGGA